TCCTCCAAACGTTTCGATAAGATTACTATATTTTGATTCTGCTATAAACTGGTAACGTAAAATTTAGATATGACATTATTGGTTCTACTAAAGAACAGGTATCTATAGTATAAATAAGGATAGCTTTATAAGTCGGATCAGTTTGATCATTTGGTGATCGAAACACGTGCCGAGGTGTTGAAATAACGGTTTGGTGTTGGTGTTGGTGTTATAAATAATTGATTTATAATGAATTGAAACTTTCATTGATGTATAAGCCATTTTTGAACCTTTTATGTACGTTCATTAGTAATTACCAGTATTTATGTGCATAAAAAGTTCAACTCTTGCGAATGATAGCAGAAGACGAAGTACAATAATATTTTTGGAACAACAGGTTCAAACTCATTTTCTACCAGAAATAAATGGTAGTTTCTGTCACCACTCCTTGGAGCTTCCTACACGCTTCAATTCACGCAGCCTTCATTATTATTGTTATTCAATAAATTCACCATTACACTTTTTTTTAGTATCGGGAAGATTCTGTCCATTCCTGGCGGTCTCAATCAGCTACGGAACCAGACACCAGTCCTTCACATAATTCATCTCCCCGTCCTCAGACTCCTGCCTTTCCAGTGCACGCAAGAACACCCTACACGAACTCTTCGACGCCTACTGTACAATTTGACATACCTTCCGAACGATTACCACCAAAGAGTCCTACAACCCAACGGTGAGTATCAGTCCGACAGAAAGTTAACTTTGTTTACAGGTGACAAATTGTGGTGGACGATTTTTTTAGAGAGATGGTGTTTGCAACCATCCATTTCAACATCAAATCGAACGTTTTCAAGTGTGACACTTTCACGAAACAGTTTACAAAATCAAAACACGTGTTTCGCTGTACAATTGCTTCTTCAGGTTTGTTCACACTGACTGAGTTCTACACAATTAGTTATAGCCTACCTTGGTATTTTAGTCTGGTTCACATGTACTCGATTTAGCTCTTTTCGGTGACATTTTTCAGCCCTGTCCAAAAATTACGATCAAGGTGTCATTCGATTCGTATTTTTGCCTAGAAAGTTCAAGGAAAGGTCCGAAAACGCGCCGATAAAAATAACAAAAGTTGTAAACAATTAAGTGAAAAAAAATGGGGCTTTAGTTTTTTCTTAATATCTCGGAAAATTTTCAAAATTTTGGAAATTTGAAAAAAGATTTGAAAAGATCAATGAATTTGCGTAAAAAAAGTCCCGACTCCCGAAACTGTATCTCGATTATTTATAATTTTTACAGAGCCCTGAAAATAGAGCCAAAAGCGGGTAGTCT